CTTTTTTTTAATTAATATTTTATTTTATATAATTCTTACATCATTTTTCATTTTTGCACAATGTATGCATTATCATTTTGGTTATATTCCCCATACCATTGCACCCCCCCTTATTTTGACCCAGTCCTTCCTCTCCCCTTCCCTCTCCCCCACCCTATAGTGTGTCTCTGGTTTATAGTTGCTTGTTGATTTTGACTTTTACTTTGTATTAGTTAGTCTTTTTCCTGGTCCCTTATTTAGGTTTTCTAAATTCCTACTATGAGTGAGCTCATCGGTATTTTTCCTTTTCTTTCTGACTTATTTCACTGAGCATGATCACTTCTAGCTCCATCCATGTTGCTGCAAACTGCATGTGTTTATCTTTTTTGATTGCTGAGTAATATTCCATTGTGTATATGTACCACATCTTCTTGATCCAGTCATCTATTTTTGGGCATTTGGGTTGTTTCCACTATGGAGAGCTGTGTGGAGATTTCTTGACCTACTAAAGATAGAGCTTCCATATGATCCAGCAATTCCATTCCTAGGTATTTACCCAAATGACACAGAAATATTAATTGCAAAGGGCACCTGCATCCCTATGTTTATATCAGCACTATTTACAATGGATTTATCTTTTTTGATTGCTGAATAATATTCCATTGTGTATATATACCACATCTTCTTGATCCAGTCATCTATTTTTGGGCATTTGGGTTGTTTTGATTCCATAGGTCTTGGGTGGAGCCTGAGAACCGGCATTTCTAACAAACTCCCAGGTGATGCTAATGCTGCTGGCCCATAGATTCACGCTGAGAACCGCTGGTCAGAAGTAGCCATTTACCTCCTTGTTCAGGTATAAGGGAGTAAATATATGGCTCTGAAACATGAAAGGATGTCTGCTAGGAGACATGACATACATAATTTAGGAATGAACAGTGCCCATTCTTATTCCCCATACTTTTCTAGATTGCCACTTACAGTTAGCTGTGACCATCCTGTGGCCAGAGAGAACATGCCTTATCATGACTCTGAGGCCAAGATTGCTAAAACAGGGACGTGAAAGAAATTTGAAATCATAATGATATGTGACCCCACGTTACCTAGCTTAGGGCCCAAACTTTATCTGAGAAAAAATGCTACTGTTTTAGTGAGTTTAAATCAGAAAATGTTACTGTTTTAGTGAGTTTAAATCATAAAGTTTTGTTTCTTATAGCCAAAAGTATCCTCATGAATACAGAAATATAAGAGAAGCTCAAATCTACAAAGGAAACAAAGATTTTAGGTATGCAGAAAAAGCCATAATATGTTAACAAGAGGGGCCTCCCTGGTGGCAGAAGCAGTTGAGTGCAGCACTGTGAAGCTGTCCGCAGCCTCTGCAGTGCCGGATCGATCCCCGCCGGCCTTGGAGCAACCCACATGGCAAGCAGTCCTCTCCTGTCTCACCCGCTGCTCCCCTCAGCAGTGTGTTTCGTCAGTTCTGTTCCCAGCTCTGTCTCTGGTAGATCCTCTCACCCTCCCGTGCATCTGGCCTGTACCCCAGCTCTTGTATAAATAAAATAAATCTTAAAAAAAATATGCTAACAAGAGGAGATAGTGTATTTCAGTCATTCTGCCTGTTCTGTCCCCCTCTCTGTCTCTGGTGAATCTTCTCACCCCCATATCTCTGGCCTGAACCCCAGTTCTTGTATGCATATATAAATTTTAAGAAAACTTTAAAAAAAAAAGAGGAGATAGTGGAACCCTAAATCCAGCTACATGGGAGGAAGCAATGAGGCAAAAGCCAGTAGTAAATTTTTCTCAGATGGCGGAAACACTCCAAACTAAAAACTGGTCTGTAAAACCAGTTAGGAAGTCTACATTGAACACTTAACACTTTTGCAGTAGAATTTATTTTAATGTATTTAAATCCTGAGGCAAAAGCTCTGCCTTACCCCATCTGCCTTCACAGACCACCCTGGTAATAAATTACTCCACTCTGCTATACCTAAAGAAAATTAGACGCCCCCATTTCTCTGCTAAGCTGGGGGCTTCCCCTCCTGCTAGTGGGTAAGAACCAGAGACCTGTCTTCTCTCATAGGTGCCAGGGGCTTGGAGCTGGCTGTCCTGAACTATCCCTGAGTATGAAGAGAAACATCAAATTGTCAAACTCATGTAGGTAGCAGGGGCACAGCCTTGAGGTTAGAAACAAAAGTTGTCAGAGTTAATTTTGAAATTCACTAGGAGCCGCTGTCAGACAAATGAAGTGGCCTCGATGAACTGATTCAGATGGAAAGGGATGGAAGTCAAGCAGCTGGCATCAGCACCAATTAGAGGTGTGCTGGAGGAGCCAGAGAGCACTTCAGGCCACGTGCTCCCTTGGAATAAACAAACCATCATGGCTACATGAGAACCGAACAGAATGAGACAAAATACAGGCCTCAGTTAGAGTCATCAGAGGCTTTGTGTAGCCTTCAGCTGTCTAGGTTCAAGCAGGTATGTCCCCAGGATTTTGCTATCTAAATCCAAGGCAAAAATGAGCAACTTCTCAACACAATTTAAAATAACTCAGCTCCTTCATACTATGAATAAGTGTCACTTTCCAGAATGAAATAGGGACAGCAAATCCCAGGAACCAACAAGCTGTATCCCATGGGTTTGTGAGAGGGAAAAAAAAAAATAGCAGGGCCTTGACTAAGGACTTTTTTTTTTTTTTTTTGGTGGGACCCTCACTGGTGGCCGGGGATCTAACTGGCACTGCAGAGGCTATGGACAGCCTCTGAACCCAGCGCTCAACTGCTGCGCCACCAAGGGAGGCCCCTTCATTAAGGACTTCTTAATGAGATCCAGCTCCCAGGTGGCCAGAGGCAATTGTAGGTGTGGGTACAAATTCCTGATATTGCAATATTATCAGCTTTCACTTGCTCTGTTTATTCACTACATAAATCTTGCTATGTAGTGGGATTTACTAGAAATACTAGTGGTGTCCAATTTAAATACAACTTCAGACTTCTAACTTCCCCATCCTACAATTCCCCTTTCTGCCTTGACAATCATATCATAGTTCAGCATATCATGACTACAAATGCATGACATCATAGTCCTATCTAGAGAAGAATACAGGTAGAGAAGTACAGTGATTGTTACAAAATAAAAAAAGAAAAATCTTAAATATACTTTGATTTTCAATTTTGGGGAAAAATAAAATATGTGCACCCCCCACCCTTGGCCCTGATAAAGAACAGAACTGAAAAAAAAAAAAAATCATCACTTTTATAGTCCAAAATTGAAGATATTGATAGGTATAATACCTTTATATTACACCATATTTTATAGTTAATAACAATTATTTCTATTTGATGGTAATAAGGCAAAAATTTTTTCTACACTCTCTATAACTCCCTTTTCCTTTAACTTTTTCCAAGTTATTCTGATACTTATTTATTAAAAAAAAAGTAAAACAGCATTACTTTGGAAAAAGAAAACATTCTTTGCAACAGAAACATTCACATTTCTATTTAGATGTAATGTTTTCTTTTCATTTCTACTTGCCTACATCTACCTATATGTGTGAAGGTGTAAATTCAGGATCTCCATCTCTTAAATGAATTACCTATTTTTAACATTCAAGCTCTCTGACAAAGTAAAACACTTAATATTCATATTTCATTTGCATACCCACACTAGAAAAAGCTCATTTGTTTATTTCTATAGAATAATGAACCTGTTTGTGTCATTATATATTTAAAATTTATAAAGAATTATGACCTGATATTGATAAAAGAGAGAAATCAGAGAGTTCTGACACTCAGTCCTCAATACACCATCTGAGTTGAGACACGTATTTGGAAGTAGATCCAGCCACAGTTAAGAGGGGAGGCATGATTACAAGAGAGCCAGAGAGGTCTAGCAAGGAATAATTGGTGGGGTTTCCAGAAAACAAGTAAAGTTGGTTAACATGGGACTCAGAGTAGGCAATAAGCACATGTCTAGGTGGGTAGATGATTGACATCAGGAAACTTAAGAGACTGCTAAAAGTAATGGAAGACCAGCCTCTGAGGAACTGGGGAAATAGGAAGGGAACCAAGAGAGAAACGAGCCCTGAGTAATAATATGGACATGAAATTGGTGTTTACTACAAGTGAAAGCAGAAATGGAGTGTGGAAATCTGTACAGCATGCTTTGTTCCTGCCCCCAGTGAGGGGGACTGCTTGTTACCCAGAGGCCCATTGCCCCAAAACAGATGATTTAGAGGGAAAAACATGCCATTACAATAAAGCTCAGGAGATGTTTATCAATTCCTGATACATTTACACTGAAATGACAGCAGAAAAGCTATGGCTGTCTCTGTGGAATTTCCTTTGAGATGACAAGCAGTTTTTCCTCCTCACCAATGCTATGAGAAGTGGGGACTACATAAACTCCAGACTTGTGACAGACACTTAGTTAGAAAGGACACTATAAATCTGAACTTTCCCAGCCTTTTCATCCCAGCTCTATCTCATTTCTGAAACCTGCAAGTTAACAATAGACTAACGTCATCTATTACAGACCTTAGAAAATTTTCAATAGGAGTCTTCGTTGCTATTTATATGTAAAAAGTAGGTGCAAAGATGATATATACACAGCAGTGCTGTAGATGAACTCAAACTGGGCAACCATAGTTACGGGCACTCAAAGAACATCTAGTCTTTCTTAGTCTAATTTTGATAACCCTACAAAGGTTGTCATCTTAAAATAAGTCCCCATCATACCCCTGGCCAAAACTCCAATAACTTTCCATTACCTATAGAATAGAACTCAAACTCCATAGCAAGTGTTAATGCAATTCAAAGTTTTACCATTACTTACTTTTCCAGAACATTCTACAATTTCATCATTAGATACATCATTCCCCCGTGGATCCTCTCCTCCACTGACCAACGTCACACTCTCACTTTGCCTTTCCCTTCCCAGAATTCTTTCCCATCCTTCTCATTCTTTAATACCACTTCTAAGTCATGCCAGTCATCATTTGTCCAGCTTTGTTTTCAAATACATACCCACCTACGCAGGCATATACATAACCTAAGGAGATATTAAAATATAACCAAAGTCCTCGGATTCCTTTCTTCCTTTTGAATTATGAAAAAGACCTAGGAAAATGAAAAAGGTTTTATGGAAATAGAGAATTGAATGGGTAGACATGCTTGCCAATAGCTTTAGATACTTGATAAATTACTGATTTCAGAATTTATCAAAATTTCAAAAGAAAATTTTCATTTCAGTTCTTTGACATAGACCTTGCATAGTAAAAAGATCTGTTATATATTTTGTAAATGGGCAATGCTTTAACTTATACTTTATTCCTTAAGCTATATTTTACCATTAGCCAGAAACCAAACTTTAAATAGTAAATAAATCCCCATTCAGTGGCGTTTGAAATAAGTTATCAGATATGCAAATTTATAAGGGGAAAGTTTTATTATGCAAGTTGTAAATGCATTTTCCTAAGGTCATATGCAAAGTCTCAGGGAATAAGAATCTGTTGCTAAGACAGCAATTACAACAAAATGGGAACAAATTGGTTAGGCTAGTAGGTGAATTTATCCAACTCCAATAATAGAACTAACAAAATTAGAGGCCTGGTTCTCAAATGGAGCTAATCATTAAGAGGGGGAACTAAGAAGAATGATCCTTAGTTAATGATTTTTTTCAAAGTTTAGACTCAGCTAATTTTACACTTAGTGTGGGATTGTCTCTGTTTTCTCAGAGGCAAACAAAACCAGTTGAAAAAACACACAATTAAGTCAGTCAATACTTCGGGTGATGATGTCAACCAATTATTAAGAATAATGTGTGTCTGAGTTTCCTGGCTGTTTGTGCATTGATTAGTCTTTCAGAAATTTATTTGAATTTCAATCTACATCAGTTAAATTTTTCCTGTAGACATTCAATTTTTTTTCTTTTTAGTTTCATGAGCAAAATAGCCTGCTTCTACTGCAATAAAATATAAAATTTACAAAGGGAGTTGAAATACTAAAACTTAGAGCTATATTTTTTATAACTGTGTCCATTGATGTTTTATAACTTTCCTACATTTGAAAATGTTTCATCTTTTGTACCTTAAAATCTCATTCTAGTCCTGCTAGCACATTAAATTTGGAAATGTAGCTTGCTATATGGTGTGAGAGTAGAAAGCTAAAGAAAATTTCTGGTCCACATAATCAGACTTTTAAAAGTTTGTGTAACTACATGTGTAATGCCGCATTAGGCCAGGTTTTGCATAACATAGTATTCAAAATCATAGCCAAAACAATGAAAATTGAACTTCAGTATTGAATTGGGTCTCTTGAAGAACATGAAAGAGGTGCTAATTCATTAGACAGAGATACTTTTAGAAAGTTTCCATCTTTTCTCTCTTTTTCTCCCTTTTCTTCTCTTGTACCCTGTGGCTACTTCAGAATCTCATACACCAAGCCTCCAAAACTTTCTCCCAGTGAAGAGCATGCAGAACTTTTCTCCCTATCACTTTCTTTCCCTGGTTCTTTATGATGAGGCTCTCCATTGGGTCTCTAGATTCTGAATCACAAAGGAGTCCTCAAATTCGTTGGGCAAAGATATAATTCTTAGGAAGCAAGGAAAAAACTGAACAATGAAATATATTTTCTTTGAAACAAGTGAGTGGCTTCTGGAGAGCAAGAAAAATATCTTGAAAAACTCAAAATGAGGGGGGCCTCCCCTGGTGGCGCAGAGGTTGAGTGCTGGGCTGCGAGGCTGCCCGCAACCTCTGCAGCGCCGGTTTGATCCCTGGCTGCCGGCGAGGGTCCCACATGGTGCGATAGACCTCTCCTGTCTCACCCACTGCTCCCCTCAGCAGTGTATTTCATCAGTCTGCCTTTTCTGTTCCCAGCTCTGGCTCTGGTGAATTCTCTCACCCTCCTGTGCTTCTGACTGTACCCAATGCTTGTATAAATAAATAAATAATTTTTTTTAAAAACAAAAAAACTCAAAATGAATAGAGTCCTTGTTATATACACTTTGGTAGTTTAGAAAAGTAAAATCAACTTTTTATATTCACAGTGGTAATTTTTTCCTTAAAACATTTATTTTACTAAGCGCTCAAATGGCATCTGATTTTCAGTTTCATTAGCAGAAAAAAGAAAGTGAAAAAGGAAAAGAAAAAGAGTGGCAAGTGAATCTTAAAAACCTGTTAGTTAAACCCTATTCCCACAAATTACTCGAAGATGATAGTTCTTACACTTAAATGATCAACAGTTTCTTCTTTCATTCATTCAACAATTAGTTACTGATTATTTATTATGGGTCAGGCATTGAGTAAGTAACTTGTTTTCCTGACATACAAATACTGGGCATATTTTATTTTGTGGAAACAAATTGAAAACATAGGAAAGTAGGGTGTCATACCTGTAGGATCAATTTATTAGTCACTCTGCCCCTAGCTTCACCTTAGTTTACAAAATTTAATTTGAAAGACCATGGAAAACTTATGACTCAACAGCACATTGATCATTTCTCAAATTTTCAATAATCAAAATCAAACCTTGTGCTTTGCCAAATTTGCCGCTGCTTGTGTAGAAATGGGCTACCTGAGTCAGTATCCAGTGTAGTTTTGAGATTATCATAATAACATATTCTGAGAATCACCTCTTATATGTTATGTTTATGCTTCCCAAAAGCATCTCTTGCTTGAACAAAATTTGACTCTAATAATATAGCCTAAGGAAAGGGTCTTCATTAAGTCTGATTTGTTACTACACAGAAAATATATTCTGATACAGATTTCTTCCCAGGAAAAGTAGGCACAAAACCCTTACCAGTGAGTAAGCAGAACACAGGCAATTTTGTACCTGTAGATCAATAAGACACATGGCCCCTTACTTAGATACCATGGAAAATCACAACCATGCACTAATATCCCAATATTTTCAGCCCAATTTTCCTAATTTAAAAGACCATGTAGGAAGGACTTGGAATTTAATTGCATTACATGTAATGAAGTTTTTTTGGTTGGGGACTAGGGCAGTTCCTGGCTCCAAGTAGGTAGGCAATGTATAGTGGTTATGGTAGTAGGTATGGTGGTAAGATAGAAGTTGTTAGCTTTGAAAGAGATTAATAGTTATTCAAAGTCCAATTTAAAAAATCAAATGTTTATAATGTTTAATGAGCAAGTTACATTTTATACACTCAAGGTTTGTTGAAATAAATTGGAATCTCATCTCCTTGCATCAGATAGTATTGATTAGCAATTATTGGTAAATCCTAGAGCCTTCAGGGTAATGATCCTCTGGCTTCTTTGTGCTCATTACAGTGGTACTTGTAAAGAGCCATATGAGAACAAGAAAAACTTTAAATCTGATTGTTACTTTCATAATTCTGGTTGTTAATTAATAAATTAATTGCTTTGAAGTCTGTTAATGCCAATAATTGATGGTTTAAAGAAGTCTGTATCAAAGAAACCTCCATACTCTTTTCCATAGGGGCTGCAAATTATTAAAAATAGATCTACCAGATGATCCAGCAATTCCACTCCTAGGTGTCTACTCAAAGAATACACAAACATTAATTGAAAGGAATATATACATGCCTGTGTTCATTGCAGCTCTATTTACAATAACCAAGTCATGGAAGCAACCTAAATGTCCAAGAACAGATGAGCAGATTAAGAAACTGTGATACACACACACACAAACACACACACACACACAGTGAAATACTATTCAGCTATAAAAATAACTGAAGTCCTGCTATTACTGACAACATGGATGAGATTGGATGGGATTATGCTCAGCAAAATAAACCAGAAGTATAAAAACAAATACAAGGGTTTTGCTTATATATGTAATATAGAGAAATAAAAAAGAGTCAGACAAAAAAAAAATCAACCCTAGAAATAACAACTGTAAAACTGAGACTACCCATGTGGGGAGGGGGAGGATGGAAAACAAAGGTGGGAGGGGACATAGTGGGTTATGGTGGAGGATTATGGGTGCCTTGGTGGTGGGTGAAGTGTGCTAACGAACACCAGAAGAGGTGGGGTCCTATATTTCTGAATCATATACGTGCTATCAACCAATGTTATACTAATAAAAAAATTACTAAAAGGAAAAAGAAATCTGTACCCAAAAGGACACTTGACTTAACTCACAAAAAGCATCTACCCCATGTAAGATGTTCAAGATTTTTAAACAATTTTTTTGATTGTAAATAATCATATCAGAGGATAAATTCAGTTTTGATAAACTCCCCTTACATGACCCCTAATTTGGGCCTCTGCCTAAGCACATTATTTGCAAAGTGGATGCTAAGCATACCTCAGCTCACTCATCTTTACAATAGAAGAGGCAGGTTAGAGAAGGAATCTCTATGGTGATTTTAAGCCAAAGAATTCTGAGATTCTGTTCATCATGGAACATTCCTCTGAGGGAAAAGTTCAGGGTGATATGCGAATATATCAGAGGAACCTAATCTCACCCAAAGGGACAGGAGTACTGTTGTGTGGATAAGTTTATCCAAAGTTTAACATCATATATTAGGGTGATAATATGGTTGTCCAAGAAAATGATAAATATTAAGAACGAAATCTGATTCTATGTTTTGTTGACAAAGAATGCTGCATACTTATAGAAGAAAATCCACTGTTTAGGATGGAAGAAAAACGACAGTATAATCTTATGTCCTTTTTATGGTAGAGGGAGGTTCATTTCTAATAATTCATGCTATTGGGCAAAAGTAGACGAATCCCCAAAAGTTAAAATCCTGGGCATGTTTCTCAGTCTTTAATCATCACAATACCTTCATAAATTCTTCCATAGCCATGTGTAATCTTTTCTGCAAATTACTAATACTTTCTTTCAAATTGATTTAGCTTACTTAGATTCACCCTAAACAAAGACAACCATAAATTAGTACAAAGTTTTTAATATGCTAATTAGACTGTTTAACCAACTTTTAAAATGAATATATAGCTATTCAAATAAAAGTTGGTATATTTCCTAATATTCTCTTGAATACCAAACTTTGGGAGACATTGACCATACCCTGAGTTCTGTATACAAAAATGTACAACTATAACAAGGGAAAATTTCACCAATTAATGTGCATGATGTCTAAGCCCAGTTATATCACATTATTTTGCATAACATCTACACTTTCAATGATTTTCTTAAATTTCTCTAATGAAGCTACCTGTAATTTCCAATAGGTTTTATTTAATCAATAAGTAACTCTCAAGAACCAAATATGTAGCATGGTTTCTAAATACAATGGGATTCTGTCATTAAATATTTAGACATTTGGAATTTTTTTTAATTGGGCATGAAGACCAAGAGCATTTTGTACCTCCATTCTAAGAAAAAAAAATATATATATGTTAATTTTGTAATAATATATTGGAATATAATTTCTCCGAAAGAAATATAATTTCACAGAAAGTGAGACCCCTCAGGAACCCTGATAGCATATATATCATTTATAGTGGTCATCACTGGTGTAATGGAAGCAGATATTTAAGAAGAGAGTTTTAAAGCCAGAAAACTAATTTATTTTTTTACCTCTGTGAAAACGTTAGCTTCACTTTGTGGCATGCAGAAATAATTATTCATGTAAAATAAAATATTTTCTTGCATTTTCAGTACAGATTCCTCTTTTCCCTAAGCAACTAAGTTATATGTTAGTACTTTCTCCCAGATACCATAAATAAAAATATTTTTTCATGAGTCACAAACTTTGTGGGAAGGGCTACACTTTACAAAGTGATGTACTTTGAATTTAACAATAATTTGGAGATTACTGTTGTCTAATTACTTGAAAGCAAAGAAAATCAATTATATTTTGGCTTTTCAGGGATTTAAGTTCCTTCATTAATAAATCACCAGAGGTTAGGGCATATAGAACAAGGGTTTATCTGTGTCTGGGAACCAAGTTTTCTTACAGTTCTACTACAAGTTTGTAAACTATTCTTAAGAGTATTAAACTAAGCAGTGTACTTTACAAATGGGAAGTACACCTGACTTGACTGATTAAATCATCTCTGTAGCAATGTATAAGATGGATCATTTAAGATGAATCCTGCACAATGGCAAGATGTTGGTTGTATTTGTTGCTGTTAAAACCCATAATTTGAGGCCGAATGACATTCCATTTATTCTTCTTCACTTTATCTGAAACTATTTAATATCTAAAACTGCAGGAAAGATATTTGAGGCTGCCATTATTGATTTTCTGATTATGGTATGATTTCATAGACCATACACACCAGGAGCTGCATTCATGACTGAACTCTGGTCAACTTAATTTTAGTTAAAAGATCATTCTATCGGCATTCATGCCTGACCTAAGAATCATGAAGAAACTTAACAACATGTGTTGCTTTTCCTTCATAGTAGTTCTTATTTCCTCACTGTAAATATGGCACACATTCGAAACTCCTCATCCCTCTAATTGTCCAATGCTATTCGGTGTCTGAAACCAAGATTTGCACATTTAATATTTCCCTTACCATTATGACTTAGTGCACTTTTTGCATAATATCTCATATTATAGCATATCCACTCCCCCAAATTATTTTATAATATAAATAACCTCTAATGTGTTTGTGTAATAGATTGCATATTTTATAAACAGAATACCTGAGTTGTGCTTTAAAAATGTGCAAATCACGGGCCTCCCCGGTGGCACAGCAGTTGAGTGCTGGGTTGCGAAGCTGCCCGCAGCCTCTGCAGCGCCGGTTCCATCCCTGGCTGCTCCCCGGCCACCAGAGGAGGGTCCCACATGGCGCGCAGACCTCTCCTGCCGCCCGCTGCTCCCCTCAGCAGTGTACTTCGGTCCTTCTGCCTGCTCTGCTCCCCGCTGTGGCTCTGGTAAATTCTCTCACCCTCCCGCACTTCTGACTGTACCCAGTGCTTGTATAAATAAATAAATAAATCTTAAAAAAAATAAAATAAAATGTACAAATTGCTCACCTTACTAGGATACAATTATCTCATCTATAAAAAGAAAGCAACATGCTTTATGTAGTGAACCATAGGCTTTAAATCAGAAAGCAGAGGAGTGAATTCAGTCTTAGATACTTGCTAGCTGTGCAGCCTTTGGTGAGCTGCCTGATCTCTCTGGCCCCCATTTTCCCCACCTATTAATTTACAGTTATTGTATGGACAGTCACCTTTAAGGTTAGCTGAAATTAAAAAGAATGAGTAATGCCTCTGATCCATTATGTATATGACGTAATGGTCCTTCTGTCCATTCTTTATCTCTTCCTGAAATCCATATCTGGCATATTTAAAATGAAATGTCATCTGCAATTTCCATTGCTAAGATTCCATGTAAATGCACTTTGATATCAACATAAAAATAGCTACCCTAAAAAGGAGGTTGCTACACCTACTTAACAATTATAATGGAAACAACCATTCATAGGCACTTTGGTGCTATCACTGACAAGACAAGGTTTCTAATTTTTCAAGTGTCAATATTTATTATGAATCTGGAATTATAAGAAAGTCTTCATTTGGCATAAATATGACATAAGCACACAACAAACCAGAGTACAGATTTTTTTCTTTGAATAAGGTTTTCTATTTTATTTAACAAATGTTCTATAATTTTGCCCTTTGCTCCCCACTGCTACAGTGAATGTGAAGAGATATTCTTCCAAGTGGTCTTAGTTTTTGATTAAGACAACACCCCCATTCTAGAACATTAAGACTTTTCTACTATATGTATGTATCTTATACATACATTTCTACTATGTATATGTATATATATGTCTACTATGTGTATATATATATGTATATATATGTATATATATATATATATTTGTGAGAAGCATACATGTAAAAGTAGGAAAAAATTCATTTCTATGACATCTTTTAAATTTCCCAATGTGAAAATTTCACATTTTAACCTAAAATACATATGCTGATGTTTCTTTACCTTTGATTCTGACAATGTGAAGACAAAGAGTAAGGGTATTAGCCTTTTCATGTTTGAAGAATATTTAATCATGCCAGAGACTCTATGGTCAAACACAGAAAAGGGAGAGAGAAAGAGGAAGAGGGTCTTCATTAGCAATTATGTGAAATATTGTTGTAATTGTTGCAAATAGCATGACGTTAAAACATTGACCAGTCTAGGGCCTTCCCTGGTGGCACAGCAGTTAAGCGCTGTAAAGCTGCCTGTGGCCTCTGCAGCGCCGGTTTGATCCCCGGCCGCCGGCGAGGGTCACACATGGCACACAGACCTCTCCTACCATGCCTGCTGCTCTGCTCAGCAGTGTATTTCGTCAGTCTGTCTGTTCTGTTCCCTGCTCTGGCTCTGGTGGATTCTTTCACCCTCCCGCGCTTCTGACTGTACCCAGGGCTTGTATAAATAAATAAATCTTTAAAAACAACAACAACAACAACAAAACATTGACCAGTCTATTAATTGATTTGCTTTTGTCAGATCAAGTAATGATGCTTTATTTCAAACAATGACTAAAGAAGAGTAGCCTCCTCTTTTTTTTTTTTTTTAATTTATTTTATTTATACAATAGCTTGGGTACAGACCAGAGGCGTGGGTGGTGAGAGGATTCACCAGAGACAGAGTGGGGAGCAGAACAGGCAGACAGACTGAAAGCACTTCTGAGGGGAGCAGTGGGCAAGAAAGAAGTCTGCTGCGCCATGTGGGTACTTCCCTGGCTGGCCAGGAATCAAACCCGTGCTGCAGAGGCTCTCGAGAGCTTGCACAGCTGCTCGCCCATTGTCCTAAGCATTCTTAAGAGGATTCTAAACTGGGACCAGATCTGTGAGACCCTTTCTGACAGCAGTTTTCTGTGGGATGATCCTAAATCTGTCTTCCTAAAGGTGGCATCAAATTTGTTGGCAGCTAATATACGTAGTCCCCTTCTACTCCTAAGGGAAGTTTCCCAGCTTGTAGGCACTTTTAAAAAAAGTGGTAATTGCTGGGAATGCAGTATCAATGCTTGTGATCTAATACATTAACAACATGGAAAGTTGGATAAATGAGGGACAAATATACATTGCAGGTAGATGTAATGTGAATATAAAGAAGTATTTCTTGGCAATCTGTGTCCGTTAGCTTTGCCTACTAGGCCTTCCTTTCCAGCCTCTTAGTTGTTCATGTAGTTCTCCTATGGCTATGTGTAAATTCCTTGGTTCTTTCAATTACTGGGGATACCAGACCTTTATGCACATTAATCTGCAAAATCCTGGGTATCACATATTCTGGGATGATGGGAGAATTACTACTATCAAATAAGAGCCCATGATGTAATGTTATATTTAAAGGACACAAATAAGTTACGTAAAGCTCCCCAAGTCTTTTTCTTTTGAAAACTCACTAAGTGGGAGGAATTCAGG